CCGCGGGTGCCCGTAAATCCCGCGCGCGCCCGCCCGGCCGCTCCCCGCAGCAAGGGGAAAAACCAGCTCCGTAGCCCCGGAAAAACTCCGGCAAAGCCGGGCAAGGAAGCGTCGATCCCCCTTTTCCCAAGTAATAAGGGAAAGTGGTTCCACTCCACTGCCCAGCGCGGAGCCCTGTCCCCCATGGGACGCAAGGAGAGGGATGCAGCAGCCTGCCTGGCTCCTCAGAGGTTTTTGGAATTAAGTTGGAAAGAAATACTGGAAATTTTTAAAATACTGAAAAAAATAAAAATTAGAGAAAACTTTGCAAATCAAAAGCTGCTTTTTCTTCTGTGCCCTCTTCCCCCCTCCCCACTGAGCAGCTCCCAGTAAAGCACCGCTAAGCCCCAGGCGAGCTGTTTTTCCCAAGGCCCTTCCTGCTCCCGGCCATCCCGGTCGGTCGGAGCCGGGCAGAGGATGAGGAGGGCGCGGGGCCGCCTTACCCGGCGACGTCGACGGCGAGCTCGGTGCCCAGCACGCACACGGTGCTGGTGGGGCGCTGCGCCGAGAGCTGCACCAGGCGCTGCTGGGCCATGTCGCTGCGGGCGCGCGGCGCCCCGCGCGCGCTTATAAAGCCCCGGGGAGGGGATTAAGCCGGCGCCCGGCCTCATCCCACCTCCGGGCCGGCTGCCACCGCCGCGGCTGCACGTGCGGGCGCCCGGGGGAAGCGCTCCCGGCAAACCCGGGCTTCGCCCATCTGGGTTTTTAAATAAATCCCTTTTCTGGCGGAGAAGATGCGGTTGTGGATGCACCTGACCCTACCAACACATGCGTCACGCACGCAGCGCTAAATCCCGGATTTTTCCACAGGGCCCAGGCTGCAGAACACTCAAAGCCTGAAAATATGCATATTCATATACATATGCATACATATAAATACATATATATACACACACACTTTTTCAACTTGTGTTGGGCTCAGAGGGACGTATAGGGGTGTTATCGGTTGCTGGAAAAGAAACAGCTGCTGCATGAAGACCCAATGCTAACAGAGACAAGGGCCACTTTATTGCCAAAACCCCTTAGTTTGCCCGGCTTCCATCCAGCTTCATCCCTGGTTCTCCACTTTGGAAAGAGGAGAACACCCAAGCCCGCCGTCCCCCGAGGATGCTCAGGGCACCATGTGCCACCACTTGAAGGAGAAGGGCTTGCGGCGCACGTTGGTGCCGCAGTGGACGTCGCCGGCCAGCACGTGGTAGGAGAAGTAGTCGTTGATGAAGGTGCAGCTGAGCCCCAGGGGCTCCAGCAAGGAGCGGACCTTCTCCTCCAGGCAGCACTGGCCGCGGATGACGGGCCCGAAGGGCTTGGGGATGCCCAGGTGCCTCCCCAGCACCAGCATGTTCACCTGCGGGGGACAAGGGATGGGACAGGCTGTGGAAGATGCCCAGGGGGAACCAGGGGCATCTCGGATGCAGCAAGAAGCCACCTGGCAGCATCATCAAGCCCTCGAGAGCCCCCAGGGAGCAAAGATGGGATGGATGGAGAAAGAGGAGATGGAGGAGAAGGTGAAGGGAGGAAAGGGTCTGCTGGAGACAAGAGCCCCAGCGCGGAGAGGAGCGTGACCCTTCCAGTGGGCCCTCACCATGTCCGGGAAGAGGGCGTCCGCGCGGGACTCCCTGAGCACGAAGAGCTGGGGGATGTCGATGATGTCCTGCTCGCTCAGGCCCAGCTCCTGCTTGAGGAGGTCTCGGTTCCAGTCGATGCAGCGCTGGGGAGGAGGGAGGCCACGTTAGGATGAGCATCCAGAGCGACCGCTACACCGGAGCCTTTCGTTGTGCCCCCGGCCTGCCCGGCCTCCCTCATGTCATGCGGCCCCACGTTGCTGCCTGTGCCCACCCGTTTGGCCACGCACGGCTTCAAAGTGCAGAGCTTTTTGCTACCTCCTGCATGGAACCCGCTCGCCGAGCTCCCTCTCCCCTTTGATCTTTGGTGCCTCCGGAGGCACGCGGGGCATCTCCCAAAGCCGGCACCCACGTGTGCTCACAGGAGCGGGTCCCACGCGGCGCCTGGCCCCGCTGCCACGGCTCTCCCTCGCACACGTGCTCTCCTCCAGCACCTGCCAGTGCTATTCTTGGCAGGTTTGCTCATGCTTTTGCCCAGGGTAATTATCTGCTTCATTAAAAATGATCCGGGTGCCAATCATCTGCTAGCAATGTGTGAGCAGAAGAGGTTCATCAGGGAGGGCGTTGACAGAGCGAATCGAGCCAGCCCTTGGCGAGGCCATCACGGGCTCCGCTGGGTCACATTGCTTTGAGGGTGGCCTTGCCTCAGCTTAACGGTCCCCACAGGTGGCTGCACGGCCTCCCTCCAGCCCAAGCTGACGCAGCTGCAGCAGCTCTGGGTGCCTAAATGCTGCAGAGCCCCAGAAGACCATTCTGCTAAGACCATTCCTCCCCCTGCTCTGCAGTGTCACGGCTTTGGCTAACTGCTTGGCATGGCCATGGACACGCACGGCCTTACTACGGGGAGGGAGAGGTGGTAACGGACTTGCTGGTGCCACGCGGCCCTCGGTGGCTTCCCCGGTGCCCACCTGCGCGTGCGTGTTGTCACCCTGCAGCGCCTCGTCCGCCAGCAGCTCGTCAATGCTCATCCTCTCCATGTTCTTCAGCCCTGCATGGGGAGGAATGTGGCTGTGAGGCACCGTGGTGGCCCCCAGCAGCCCTTGAAGACACCCTGGATGGGCTCCTTACCCACGAACTGGGTGGCATCGCCGTAACCCTGCTTTTGCTTCTCCTTGAAGAGCTTGTAGCAGGCGTTGGGACTGGCCAAGAGGAGACGGAAGCCCTGGAGGAAGAGAGCGGAGGTGATTAAAGCTTGGCCATGGTGGGCTTGGAGATCATGGAGATGTTATTTCATGGTGGCCAGGACTTAGGCAAGATACATCGGTTTCTCGGCACGTCAGCAGCAAATCCAACCCCAGCTCCAGATGTTGCCCCCAAGAGTCTAGATGTTTCCTGGAGAACAGCCCCAAAAGAAGGTGGATTCAGCACCCGGCCCCACGAGCAGCACCCCAAATGACAGGAAGGATGAACCAGGCACCCTTCCCACAACCGCTTCACCAGGCAACGTGAAGCCACTTGTGCCCTTTTGCGGCGCTCTGCTTTCCCCATGAAGGGCTTTTGGTCTTTGCAGAAGGTTCTCCACGCAGCACCACGCGGGACAGGAGCGGCAGCGGCGGCCGGTACCTTCCTGTCGTAAGCGGGCACGAACGTCAGGAATTCGTCCACGTGGCCCACGCTGAGCCACTCCGAGTAGACCTCAATGGGCGCCTGCACCTTCTGGGCGTAGAGGAAATCTCGGACAGCCTTTGACATCCGCCGACCAGAGGCCCTGGGAAGCAGAGGGAATAGGAGGAAGCACCCGCGACAGCATCGGGGTGCAAAGAGGCACCAAATTGCTAGAGGTGACACTGTGTCCCCACCAGTTCAGCATCAAGTGGGTGGTCCCATAGTAGCTCCTTGGGGAAGGGGACTCCTGTCCCACTCACACCGATATGGGACACTGATGATGTCCCAAAGTTCATGCTGAAGACCACTGGGGCAGAGATATGCATATATAAATATTTATTTATGTATTACATCCCCCTTTCTGCTTGAGCACCCTCCTCTAAAATAGGCACAAGGCTTAATTTAACCAGTCCTTGTGAGTATTAAATCGCTCCTTACGAAATGCGTTGCACGGGTGAAGTATTCTTAGACAGACGGCAGCAGAGGCCCTGGGAAAGCATTAATTAAACTTCTCAACATCCTTCTAATAAGGGATAATTACACTTCTTGCAAGTCTGGGAAAACTAAGTTTACCTGTCGTGGTAAACGAGCTACCTAACATTGCAAGCGAAGGGGCCCAGGCGTCCTGGCGAGGTGTCCTCCGCTGGCGCTGGCCAGCTTGGGGACGGGCATCCCGCCACCTGCCATCCCGGGCGGCCTCCCAGAGCCGCTTTGTTGGCTATCCTGGAGCACGGCCTCCTTCCTGGAGGATCTGCGCTCTCGTTGCATTGCCATGGGCAAAGCAACTTCCAGCTATTCGGGATTTTGTCCTTTCAGATTTCCCCATTTTGGCTTTCCATGGAGGGGGACGGGTTAAATAACCCGGGTGTGAAATACCCTAGGATTAAATAGCCCTTAGGATGGGAGTGAAAGCTCCGGCGTGGCCGGTTCAGGAGCGGGGGGCACGAGCGCGGCTGCTCCGCGGCGCCTCGCGCGGGGTGCGAGGAGGGGGAAGCCGGCTCGCCCGCTAAATCTGATCTCCGGCGCTGAGCAGCTCTTGCAAAGAGGATTGCTACGAGGTGGGAACGTGGGGTCAGCTCTCGGGAACCTCCTTGGTGCCTCTTGGCCCGGACCACCCCAAAACGGGGCTCTTATTAATGCGACTGATGTAAATCAGGCCCCAGTGGTGCTTGCAGATGGAAGGGCTGCTCTAGACCCCTGTTATGTCCGTGTGAAACCTTTTCAGAGCCTGGGTCTCCCTCTGCCAGACCTCAGTAGCCTTCGCTCTGCCCAGTTAAGCCTCTTCCCCTCCCCAAAAAGCCCTTTTCCTTGGAAGGGAAAACAAGGTTCCTGCTCAAACACGGATATTCTGCACTCTGGGAATCACTGCTACCCCCACAGCCATCTTTCCTGCCCCGAGCAGGAAAATAAGATACTTATCCCGGGAGCCGATTTAAGCCCTGCGAGAGCCGGGACCCTGGATGCCCCTCACATGCCCCTCTGCCCGGAGCACAGGGCAGGGAGCCACGGACCCATGCGCTGCGAGCCGGACCTCTGCTGTCCTCCTTGGGGGTTAGGCAGGAGGAACAAGTTCTCCAGGTCTTTCTTTCCTTTTTTTTTTTTTTTTTAGATTCCCAGGCTCAGCCACAACTCAGATGCCTCTCCTACGGCTTCCTCCGACATCCTCTCCGAAATCGCCCTGCCTCCCCTTTCTCATCCCCCAGGAACAGTTTCCCACGGAGAGCTTTGGTGCGCCCCATCCAAGGCCAGGCTGGATGGAGCTGGGCTGCCTCGTCCCCTCCTCACCAAGGGAGGGTGCTCCCGATGAGGATCCTTCCAAAGGGGTACTCCTTCCCTCGCACCGTCACCGGCGGGCTCACGTCCAGGTTCCCAAAGGAGTCCAGGCTCGACACCTCTTTTCCAGGGGGCTCTCGGGTCACATAACCAAAATCGGGGCCCTGAACGAGAGTGGAGCAGTGAAGGTGTGACGAGGGACCTCCACCATCCCCATGAGTGCATCCCCACGTCAGATCTCAGCTAGCGAGCCCTGCGATGTGGGTTTTCATTGCGAACCTGGGGGAGGACCCAGGGGTCCGAGGGAGAAGGGGACCAGCTCCGCGCTGGAGGAAACCTTACGCACCAGGATCTTCTTAAAGGCAAAATCCCTCAGGCCTCTGTTCCTGGGTGAGTCAAAGACCACGGGGAAGGTCTTGTGAGGAGCTTCCACGTAGCCAAACTCCAGCTCGTCCTGTTGGGGAAGAGGAGGAGGAGGAAGGATCCTCCTTTGGTGATAGGGATCACCACGGGAGCATGTGGCGCGCGCGAGGCAGCAGAGCAGGCGGCGAGGGTGGAGCGAGGGAAACCGGGCGAGCGGGAGCAGACGCTGCCGCTTTCCCCGGCCCAAGGGCGGCAGCTCCGCACCGAGGGCAGGGAAGGAGCCGGGGACAGGCCCGGAGCGGAGCCTGCGGCCACCACGTCCCAGGACACGAGGACGGGGATGGTGAGCGCCCGCCACGCGCTGCCCATGGCCCAACACGGCCCTCGAGCAGCAGCCCTGTCTGCTCTGGCTGCCACCACCTGCAGATTTCAGCTTTCATCCATGGGCGTTAGCTTCAGCGCTGAGGACCTAGGTATTTTCTGCTGATCAACGCAGCTAATACCTCCCAGGGGTGTTGGTGATGGAGACAACACCCGAGTGTCCCCGCGAGAGCCTCTGGGTGCCTAAGCAATGTCATGCGAGAGTCAAGCGTTACTTGTATTGATTTAGGACCTGGATCCAGCGGTCACTCCGGCTTTCGACTTCCGAGCAGACGGTCAGCTTGCAGTTGGCTTTCCTCATCAGGACCTGGAGACCCTCCAGAAAGACATCGTTGGAGGTGATGCCCTTGTTGATGCTGCGGGGAGAGCACGGAGTAATAACTGGGAGAAATTAGATGTTCCCCACTGCCCGGCCGCACAGCCTATTCCTCGCTAGGTAAGTGCCACCCATGAGGTTACCCTTGGACAGGGTCAGCTCCGTGGCATCGGGGCCAAGCAGAGCCCCCATCCTTTCTCTCTAGGGTTACAACAGCGTCAGCCCAGGGTCCTACCGATACATTACGACCTCTGCGAAAGCCACAAAGCGTGGCTTGCCCCATGGCTGATATGTAGTAAGAGCGTCTCTCTCCCAAGAGAGATAGGGCGATGCTCTGGTCTCCCCTCACATCCCTCCTACCTGCAGACAAAGACCTCTAGAGGTTGCTGGGTGTTCGGGGTCATTATCCAGGGTGCCACTCGGAAAACCACCGTGTCGGTGAAAATCAGGGTGCCCGGTGAGTACTGCAAGAGGCGAAACACTCATGAGTCGCAGTAAAAATCCTATTGCCACCTTCACAGGGAGCAGGAACAGGATGTGCTCCGGGATGGAGGGATGCCAAGGATGTCCATGGCAGTGTGAGCAAACATCGGCCTGCCCAAGAAGCACAGTCTATGAGTCCCTGTACCTTATGGGTGACCTCCAGCAAACTGATGCTGAAGGAAACCAGCCCAGAGAAGTCAGCATCAGGGAAAGAAAGTCCTTCTACGTAGAAAGTGCTGTCTCCTCCACTGACGTGGTCTAGTACGTAGGAGAGCTTGTTTGGGCCCAACACGGGTATACACTGGAGGTGCGAGTCATGACCTGAGAGACAACGAAACAGGGAGCACGGCATGAGGTGACCAGCTCATCCATGGGGATGGAAAGAGACACCAGAGAGGGGGTGGTTGATGCCAGTGTGGTTTGCACAGGAGTGGGTGTGCCTCCTCTTCTCCAGGGAACATACTTGATCTTCCTTGTACAAAGAGGACTCTGTACCCTGAGGTCAAACCCTTTTAAGGTGCGTGCCTCCAGTTAAGCACCTAATGATACACCTGGCTTCCCTGACCTGATTTTCAGTGGCGAACTGCAAGGGATCCAGTTACTGGGGTGTTCAAAGGGAAATTGTGTGCGGCCCAACGAGATGGGCTGCTTTGATGGCTGTGTCATCCCCGGCGTTAATCAGGGAGCCGGTGCCAGCAGCAGCGTGTGGGTTATCAGCCCTGCATCCCGCAAGACCCCCCTGGTCTGGAGCCGGGCCCAGGGGAGCGGGCGCACGCGTCCGGGGACACGTGTGGGCACACGCGGCATCACCCGAGCGGCTGTCCCTGTCCCACCGCAGGGCTGGCTCCCCACTGTCCCCTCACGTGAGCGATACTGGCTTCCTCCTTACGTCATCCTCACCCGGAGCTTCGCAAGTTCCCTTTGTCGGAAAACCCTGCCTATGCACCTACGCCCCTGCGGCGCGCGCAAACCCTCGGTTAATTTATTTTTTAAGGATAGGAAGACGTCAGCATTTTTAGACCTGCCTGGCATATGCTGAGCCTGTACCTTCAAAGCCCGCTCTCCACTGGGAAAGATGAGCCTGAGACACAAGCCTTGCCTTTGAAATCGCAGCAATCGCACTGAACAAAGCATTCCTTATTACTTTTCCCCAAGCAGGCTCCGAGTTTCTCATAACTTGGTGTTTCCAAACAGCCAGAAGAGCTGGAGGAGCTTTTGAGATAAGCCAGCATTTCCTGAGATCAGAGGCGCGTGATCCCCAACTATAGCAAATTTCGGAGCTCTAATAAAAAGAAGGATTCACCCGCCTCATGGTCCTACAGGGAGATGATAGCACTGCATGAAGACCTGGGAAGGCAGGAAGAAGTACTCACGAATCGCATGGAAAACTCTCACTTTGTCCGCGTCTGACTCCGGGACGTGAAGAACCAGCTGATGTTCGGTGAAGATAGCGCTGGGACCTTGAGCCCGCAGGATCATAACCGACATGTCCTGGAGGTCTGCAAGAGAAGAGGCAGTGGGAGTCTCACCGCAGGGACCTGCGGGGTTTCCAGCCCCATGTACGGACTGTAGCTACTGTGTCCTCTGCCCAGATGTTGTTCACCTATAGATAAATAGGGCATTCCTCCTGGCATTACGCATGCTGCTAGTGCTGGTTTTAGAGAGATGTCTGGAAAGAGAAAGCCAATGTGTCCTTGCCTTGGGAAGGGAACAGAGGTGACGGCAACAGTGTCTTGGAGAGACACAGCAAGGTGATCTTGCAGGGGGAAGGAGCCCGTTTCTGTCTCAGCAGGGAAGCAGGTTAGAAAATGGAGCCTCCACTGATTACTGTAAGATGAGAGCATGAAAGCAGCAACCACGCTCCTAACTGCTTCACAAGCACCTACGGCCATAGGTCAACAGCACATTATCTTTGGAGGAAGCATCACCACCACCAGGCATGGGAAATGTATCCAAGAACAGCTCTAGTGGGAAAGGAGAAGAATGGAGGCATCACAAGCCCTGGCAGACCCAGACGAGGATCTTCAGATCCTCTTGGCTGCTGCCTACAAGTCTTGGATCGCCTGGGCCTGCTCCAGGGGCAGGCACGTGCCCGGACGGGAAGGTGGGACATCCTTTAGGCAGCTCCTGGGATGGGCCCCACGCACCTGCGTGGGTCCGGATCTCCGTGTCGCTACTGTCCGTCCCCACGGCACTGGGGCTGTCCTTGTCACAGTTCACCAGCAGCACGGCACCTTGTCCATCCGGGCCCCACGTCCATTTTGCCTGGAGAAGAAGCATCCGAAGGACGTAAGAGAAAACCGCAAAATTCCTCCTCCAGCCTGTCCTCCTCCCAACAGGCTCCCAGCTGGAGGAACCCCCAAAGCCACATCCACGCTTGGAGGAGATACCCACAACAAGCGTTAAGTAACATGCAATCAGCCCTGGTATGGAGAGGGCAGCGATGCTTCCAGCCCACTAGATTTCCCAACCTCTTAACCCACATGAAAACTACTGCTTCTAGCAGGGCCAGCAAGGGCTATTGCAAACAGATGTTATCTTCCAACAGCTCAGAGTGTATCTGTAAGCCCTCATTTGGACAAGAATATGCCATTTCTCAAAATGCATCTGATCTCGATATACAATTTACTCTGTTGATTGTGCTGCAGCTAATTACACAGGCGTAAGTGCTTGGGCATATGCAGATTTATGGCCAACGGGGTAAATCTCTTGCTGTTTGCAAAACCTGCGACTGACTCATTTAGTGGCACGTTTCGCATCCAAAAAAAAAAAAAAAGCAATATCTTTTCCACTATACAGTTGCTCCTTTCCAACATCCTTGGGGCTGGACTTGAGAGCCAAGAGACTTTGGCACAGAGAAAAAAAGAGTCTTTCCTCCTGAATTAGGCTCAGGGGAAACAATGCAGCAAATTCTCACTCAGGCACCAGGGAAAATGCTAACAGCACCCAGGTCCCTCCTCCTGGAGATTCCCAAGAGGCAGAGTGTAAGTGGAGGCATCCTGCATTTGCCCTCCGTAAACCCTGCGCTGCACGAAGTCAAGCAGCCTTCCTCCTTACCTTGTCCTTTCCTTTGCTCCTCACGCGGCCGCTGCGGCTCAGGTCAACGTCCAGGGATATGTCTGAAACATCGCGGAGAGAGAAGGAAGCGACGGAGCTTCTGTGGCTGGCGCTGGTTTGGACCCACCCTGAGCCCTGGGCACTGAGTCACCTAGTGCCAACCCCTCTGCATCGCCCAGACGAGCTCCAGAACCCGAGCAGGACCCTTCTCTAGCAGCCAGTCTGACCACGGTTTGTTGTTTTCCCCCCTTTCATCTCCAGTTATCTCCTGGACTTCTCTACCAGGGGCATACCCACTTTCTTGTTGTTGTTTTTGTATTTTTACCGATTTCAGATTGATGGTAGCATTTTTGGGGGGTGAGCGTGGAAGCACGAATGAGTGTTCTCATCATGGACAAATGGACGCTTAAGCAATTACTTGGGATGATGCAATGTTTGAGAAGGACTTTCCCTTACAGAGCTCTTCCTTGGCCAAATCTTTGCCTCCTCTGGGTAAAGAGGAGGTTTACCAACTACCTCCTCTTGAGCTTCTGTAAACCTAGAATAAGCTTTTCTGAATGACAGCTCTTGGCCTGCAGGACTGATCCAAATGGCACAGATCACGTGTGTAGAAAACACAGATGCAGAAGAAGAGAGTATCCTTCTTCACGGTGACCCAAAAACCCTGCGGATGGCATTGGCCGGGGTGGCTCTGAGTGGAGCCCATCAGCCACGGGAAACCATCAACGTCTTCAGGCACAATTTTCACAAGCATGTGCATGACGCCAGGACACAGGTCTGGCCATCATGTGAGCACTTTAGAAAATCTCAAATTTAGGGTAATTAATCCATCCAAATGTAAGTCTCTGCATCCAGACTCGTTGTCTAGACTCCCTTTGTAGTCAGCAGAGGAAAATAGGCATTTCGAGGCAATGATTCATCTCATCCTAAACTGCTAAAATAGGTCAGACAGCTACACTTTGGTGCTTATTTTTCTCCTCTAGCTACAATGGAGGTTGAGGTACGGCCGCACTGTCTAAAGCTACGTGAGATGGTCTTGTTTGAATCCTCTTCTGCCAACCAAATGACCTAAGTGACCAGAGAAGGCTGGTTGGGTGCATGCGTTGGGCAGGGACATTGCACATGTTTATTTGTGCCACCTAAGGCAGCACCATGATAATTTAATGCTTTCTCTCCTTGTGAGGAGTGAGTACCCGCCATGCACTACGCACTCAGGCTGCTGGGTTAATTCCAGTCCAACAAACCAAGCTAGCTTTGGGGCCTGGAAAGAGCCGCCTGTCTTCAGGCACGCGTTGCGGAAATACTCACCTACGCAGGTGAGATACAACCAAGCCACGGCGAGTTCATTGCCTTCCCATCCATAGTATGAGATCTTCACCTGTGAAGACATCACGAGATCACTATCCATTCCTGTTCCTACAGCCTGCTGTGCTGAGCATATCTTTCCACTCACTGGGTTGACCCAGCTGTGATGGAAGATGCTGGTGGGACCGTAAAGGCCATGCCCCATTAATCATGGTTAACCTGAATCATTTGTGCCTGCTCCGGCGTTGAGAAGGAAAGGTTCAAGAACTTTTGCTTTGCACAAAGTATCTGGCACCAGCTTTTGCCAGAAATATCACAGCTTTAGGTCATAAAATGGGAGCTCCTCTTATTTTTAGTTTTGTTTTTTCATATGCAACAATTATATACTTCCATTTAGGTTTGAGTTTGTTCTACAGAAACTTGCCTGAAATCAGCGCTACCTGGAAATGATCTTCCTTACTTTCTGGGGGGAAAAAAAAAGAATTATTTTTCCAGAGTCTCTTCATATATAAAAAGCAACTGACCTTGTTGTCATTGACAGTCCTGCTGGTGACATCAACAGTCACCAGAACCTCTATATCAGGGTCCAGCGGCCATTGGGAGGTATTTGTGGGTTTTGTCGCAGGATTGTGGATGACATGGATTGTCACTGCAGAGGTGGCATGGACCTCAAACAACGCAGCGCCTTTGGGGGTAGATCTGCAACAGAAAGCCTGGTTACCAACACACTTGTCCTCCCTTTGCTTTCTGTGGACCAAAATAGCTGAACTGGGCCTGCTGAAACCAAATCTGTCAGTAACTGGGCAAGTCCCGGGTTTGGGTGCGTCACCTGAATTTTAGATTTATCATCTCTGTAGTGGCACTGAGTGAGCTCGGTTCCTGCTGGCAGCAATGGAGCTCCAGCACGTCCACCCGTGGTTAGGAGAGATGCTTGCCAACCCCCACTGTTCCGAGCTCCTTTAGCAAGAACATTAACAAAAAGAAACCCAAGGATTTTAGCACCCCAAACTCACTGCAAACCTGGGAGCTCAGACTAGAGCAGACCAGTCAACTTGGACCCAGCCCAAGATGGGTCAATTTTTAGTGTTGCCTCTCCAAGGTGGAAGTTAGCCCCCCTACACACATGTAAACCTGTTGTTTTGCACCTCAGAGCATCACACCACAAGCAAAAACTGTGTTGTTTCAAGGGCAGAAGATGAGGTTAAAGCCACTGCCCTTCACCCAACACCTAGAGGAGGACCACGCTTGGCCAACGGCCGCACAGCAGGGACCACCAAGGCCCCCGTTGACCCTACCCTGAATCTAGAGATGCCCAAATACAAGATACATGTTCAGGTTGTACGCGAGCGCGGAGAGCCCAAACCCCACCTCCGTGACATCCCTCGCTTTGAAGTGCTGCCTACATGCTCATTACATCCCTGGCACCTCCGTCCGGGAAGCGGGAGTGCTCCAACCTGTCTGCGATTTGTAAGCTGCCTTCCCAGGCGCACGCAAAAAGGGACAAGGTGGTAAGTTTTAACCGCAAGAAAAATAGAGATGGGATTTATTCCCTGTTTCCCTTCGGATGACAGCACCAGTGCCTGCAGCGACTTGTAAGGAGGGATTAATCTGTCATCTCCTTTGCCTACCCTAAAATTTAAATGGCTGCAGCATCGTAAATCTTCCCTCAGACTTGCAGAATTGCTCGTCTCGTGCTCGGCGCCCTAGGAGCCCAAGCGTTGGATTGACAGCACGCTGCCGTATCCAAGTCCTCTGCTCTCCTGGGCAATTCTGGAAGAACTGCATGTAGCTCGTCGGGGCCTGGCCCATCCAAGTGACCAAAATGCGTCCAAGAACAGAAATTTTGTTTCAAATTTCGCTTCCAAGGTTGATTCTCCAATCCTGGAGAATTCAGGCAGAGAGCCCATGGAGAAGAGAAAGCCCAGGGAGGACATCTACAGAAAGGATATCTAAAATTTGGACCTATCAGCCCCAAATTGATGGCCCTCTCACCTCACCTTGGCCATGGGAGCAGGATTCCTGCTATGCTCCATCCTTGTGCCCGAAAATGGAGCAGACCAAGCCTGACCTCCATCCCATCCATGGGATTGCTGCCGTCACTCCTGACGTTTCAGCCACAGCCACCATCCCACATCACCTCTTGGCTCCTCCATCAAGGGTCACATCTGCTACCAAGGAGCCAGCCCAGCCCATTTTGGGGACAGCCTTAACCGGGACCGAGTTTGTTTCCAGTCTGAGTTCAAAAAAAAAAAAAAGCAAATAACAGGTCCTATTGCCTTCTGGCCGAGGGGAACAGCCCAAGAACGGTCCGAGTTGAAGTTCAACGGGGTCCCTCTGCACGGCATGGGGTGGTGGGGGGCAGTCTAGCTGCAAGAGTGAGCCCTGGCCCCGCTCCAACATGCAAACCAAATAATTGATAGGTTCGTGCTCCCATCTGGCTCGGCCTGTAGTCACTTATCATTATAAGCATCATTTATGAAATAGGAAACATGCAGCAGTAGACTAAATATGGTCCCATATCTGGCCAATAAAACAAGCCCTATATTTTAGGCAAGAAAATACCTTCTTGTTAAATCACCCATTAAAAAAAAAAAAAGCACACCTATGTTTTTTTTTTTCTTTTTTTACTACTTTAGCTTTTAAGGACATTTGTTCTCTAACCCAGTTTAGCTCTGGACAAGTTGCTCTTCTCGAATTGTTCTTGCCTAATGTTTTGGCAGCCAGAAATAGATCCCACTTATCTGGGGTGTGCATGGGCTTTACCTGCGAGCTGTCACCGTCCCCTGTGTTTAACCGCCTCGACGCCGCGGGAGCTCCCACCGCTCCTCCGGACGCATGGGGAGCGCCGCTCCAAGGAGCTCTGGGCCCCAAAAGGGACCGAGGGCGGCAGGGACAGCCACCTCGGGGCACATCCCCGCAGGTGCAAATCCCAAGCGGTGACACGGCGCCCCGGATCGGCTCCGATTCCCCTCTCTCGTCCCCATCCCGAGCAAGAAGCAGAAATGCAAAATGCTCCTGGGCTCCCCTGAATTTTAGCAGCGTCCTAGAGCGGGAGCCTGTCCAGGAGGGCAACGCGAAGCCCGTCACAGCGAGTCCCCCAGCGAAAGTCTTACCGGTGCATGTCCAGAAGGACCTCGGTGCCCAGCACGCAGACGGCATAGCAGGCACGGCTGGTGGACACCTGCACGACCTGGCGCTGGGGCATGATCGGCCGGGGCCCACGGACGCATGTGAGGGAAGCTGCTGCCGGGCTGCCCAGCTTTGTAGGTAAACCAGCACGACGGGATTAAAAAGGCAGGGGAATTTAACTCCTCCTTCCTCCCATCCCTCGATGACGGGGTTACGCGGAGACCCTGCCGTCTCCACCTCCGCCACGCCGCCGAGCCGCCGAGCCGCACGCTCCGGAGATGACGGCGATAAGCCAACCCCTGGGGCAGCTCCTGGCCTGGCACGGGGCGGATGGGGTCTAGCAGGGCATGGCTTTGCCCTGGGCTGGAGACCTGCCCCGAGATCACGGCAGAGAGGTCTGGTGAGGGGAAAAAGCCTCAACAGCCTGCTCCAAGCTCCCTTATACCTCATATAAGGGCTCCAAAGCTTACAGCATTAAACATTTCTCCGTCTCCTGTTAGGCAACGTAGTTGTTTAGGGTTATTACAATGCATGGGACCATTCAAAATAAACCATTTTCTTTAAAAGAGCCCAATTTGTTTTCCCAGCTCATCTCCCAGCGGGTGACTCACGGCCTCGACTACCCCGTTCGTGCAGCACATACCGCTCCGGCAAAAGGAAATGTTTGCTCGGGCCGGTCCTTCCCTTCCTAACAACTTCTCATGAACACTACGGGCAGAACCGGGCGCACTCAGGGCTGCAGGGAAAACTGGTTATTTGGCAAGCAGGGAAAAAACAAAACAAAACAACCTTGTGAGAGGCTTTGGGTGGAAATTAGAGATTCGCGCTGTTTCTCTTGGACGCGGTGAAGCGCCAGCAACTCGGTGCTCTTCGTCGTGGGTTTTTTTTGGCGTTGCTGGAAATATCTGACGACAAAGTGAGTCTCTGCCCCCCCAGGGAAGGGACCGATTGAGCCTATTGGACAGCCAACGTCCCTGCCGTCAAAACAAAATCGCCTTCTGGAGATACTCACTTCTCTCCAGGTGATCCTAGGAGACCTAAACAGCTTCTAAGTGGGAGATAAGAATCTTGCTGCGAGCCATGAAGAAGATTTCCACAGTGCTAGCTGCTGACCTAGGACCTGGAGAGCAGGAAAGTGGTTCCTGCTTCAAGCAAGGCAGGTGTGATGGATAGAGGGAGAAGGGGAGCACAGGGAAGTCCCAGGTGACACTGATCCCCATGAAGACGACCCCACCAACCCCGTTGCTGCTGGGCTGATTGCCAATCTCATGCAGACGATGTGGGAAGGGTGATAAGGCAACAGTGCGGTCCCCATTTCCATCAGGAAGGGGATGTGTGGCACTGGGAAGCGAACGTGTGAGGAGCTAGCTGTGACAAGAAGCAGCTTCATGGGGTATCCTCGCAGGAGAAAACCTGAGTTAAGAAGCCACAGTTCTGTGGGCAGCAGGAGGGACCCTTTGCAAGAAGGTCCTGAGTGCGCTTGGCAGAGCGCAGACTTGTCACCCGTGGCCACGTCGTGATGCCCGTCCTCGGCCAGGAGAGAGACTAGCTGGGCTCTTGGGCCGAGAGGTTCGCACCCTTCTCAGCAACATCAAACTCAAGCTGTTCCCAGCTGCTTTGAACATCTCCAGGCTCATCTGCATTAAAGAGCTCTTTGACTTTAATCGTGGCAGTGGAACAGCCTGGTGTCTCGTACGTGAGCATGGCTTTAATAAGATCAGGAGAGCTCGCTGGGGCGGCAGGGATGCTCGTGCGGGCTGCGCCGCGGCCCTGCTCCGAGGTCTCCGAGACTGTGCCTGCCTTGGGGCTGTTGGCAAGACCTGATGCACCAAAATCCACCATGAACCCAACTTGTGAAGCTCATGGACAAACTTTTGAGCGTTTTGAGCTTATTAACCCTACCACAAGAAGAATATAAGTGTTCGCATATCCCTGAAATATATCAAGCAGTCTGTGAGGGGCCTCCAAGCAGGAGCCTGTCCTGTTCCCCGAGAGATTTTGCTCTACCAAGGCCTCTTCCTGAGGATCATTATGTAATATCGGGAGTTTGATTTCCACGTGTGGCTGCTGGTCGCGCTGGTTTAGACTGGCCATGGTGCTGAGCTTGCCGCCTGCTGTGATTTTGGCATCGCATCCTGCTCAGCTGGTTCTGAGCTCTGTGCTGGACAGAGAACACACCTTAATCCCCACGGGGTCATGCCGTTATGGTCTGTAATCTGGAAGAAGGTGGAGAACGGTGGTTTTTGGCTTCCAGGGGTTCGGAGCTGGGGCTTGTGAGCGTGCGCTTCGCCCCGTGCCAGCGTGGTGGTTCTCCCCTCCAAAAACCTGCCCAAGATCCTATCCAGATGGGAGAGGTGGGCCCAAGCCTCAAGTGTGCGTCTCGTGCAGCTGGACTCATGTTTAGTCACGGCACATTCTTCACAGCTTGAGAGAGCCAGATGCTCTCTCAAGCCTAATCCACACTGTCTTCGTTGGGTGGTAGCTGCATTCACCTCTTCTTCCTCCTCCACCTGCTATTAGCTCCGACATGCCCATGCAGCAGCAGGGAGGATTACAATTTTAAGTCATCTAAGCCCATTCAGTGCTGAGTGTCTCTTCCTAATAACACCTTGTCTCGAGAGGCTGCTATTAAGATTCCCGGTGCAGGATGGATCAGAGAGAAGTTGGTGAATCCAGACCCCTATGACGTGCTGGGCACGCACTTTTCCTAGGGAACGCGCAGTACTGCTCCTCTCCATGGGATTTTGTTGGCCACCACAAGCCACCCAAGAGCTTGGCCAGGCTTGGTTTGGGGTTTTCTTCAAGTGTTTTTCTGCTTGATGTGTCTCCCTTATTGAGGCCAGGGTCTCTGAGCGCTGGTTCTCACCAGGCGGCTCCGGTGTGGTCTGTGTCCAGCGGCGACGGCACGTCCCCAGCGCGTGGGGAAGGATCCCAGCTGCGGGACGGAGCCAGCCAGGTCATAGCGACCACGGGGACAGGCGTTCGTGCCTCATCTGATGCAATCGCAGCTGCCGGAGCTCTTTCTCCAGCACCAATGCGGACCTCACCCTGTCTATGCATCATGACCCGGCGTTGGTGAGACTGTCACAAAACCAGAGCGGTGCGGCGCTATCGCAGAGCCCATGGAGACATCCGACGCTCTGGGTCACAGGTCGAGGGCAGGATCAGAGCTGCTGGACACAGCCGGTGGGG